ATCTGGTGAAAATTTCATGTCATTAGCACCTCTAGTAATATATTTACTGAGAAAAATGGTGACGTGTTCAATACTTATTTTACCCGCTGTACATGAATACTGAGCACAACTTTAGGGAAGTAGATTTTAACCTAACAAAATAAAATACAGTGCTCTATTTTAGAAAAGAGAAGTGAATATAAATGGCTTTCTATTTCTGTCTTTAAACATGTGTTCGGAAAGAAGGAAATAAAGCTACTAATAATTGCTAATAACTCATGAAACAGTAAAGTTATCTGTTCATCATCAGCAGTGATCTCAGTTTGATGTAAAGATGATTAGCATTGTTTTGGTTGATGGCTATCATCAAGTGAAAATGTGCCCAACCTGAGATGATCCAGATGTATTTTCTACAGCGGGTGCTGCTAATGAGGGAGTGCTGGCCAACTTCTTCAACAGTCTGTTGAGTAAAAAGACCGGATCCCCAGGAAGCCCAGGATCTGGAGCAGTCGGAGCCGGAGTACAAGGATCTGCCAAGAAAACAGGTACGAGTCCTGATCCTCGTGCTGCCTGTCGGATTGTTGGTTATAAAACTTCTTACTCACAGATTAACACTTGTCTGGCCTTTAGGGAAAAAACTGTCTTAATAGTTTTATAATTAACATAAAAGCAATATTTGAACAGAGATTTAAAGAATTAAAACAAAAAGAGCTGTGTGCTACAACCTGGCTGCAGCTCGTTCAGCAGTACTGATTAATTTAAACAGTTTGAACCTTGTTTATATCTGAATGGGAATGCTCTTGTGAAGTTGTGAACGAGAGGGAAAAATAACATGATTTAAACTTTTTTTTAAAATGAAGACCCTGTTTTTGGTTGCGATCTAGCTGCACGTTAACACGTCAGGATCGAGCAGAGTCTCTCACACCGGCACTTTATGAAACCAGGTCTCAGAGTGGAACAGAATAAATTACAAACACCAGAGTGTTTTTGGTGTTGCTCACCTTCTGCAGCACGAAGGAGCAAAACCAGAAAACATCCAAAGGAACMTTAGTTTATTCACTAGTTGAGACATAACTGATGGTGCAGATGCTGCGTGAGGACGATGTTAGGGTTGCCAGATAAAAACAAAAATGAGATTATTGCCCCTCTTTTTCTGACACTTTATTTTACAACACTCACTCAGCAAATATGACACTTTGGGTAAATATACAATAACTTTAAAGGGATAGTACAAAAGCCTGGTACATTAATGCAGTGTTTTGTTTTTTTTGTCTTAATTCGCCCCAATCAACATTGAAAAAAGCTTTAGCGTTTCCAGAGACCAGTCTCATGTAAACAGGGCCTAAGTAGGGCAAAGAAATTGATTCAATTCAGTTTATTTATATATATATAAATAAGCTGAATTGAGCTGAATTAATTCTTACAACTTAATTTCTTTAAATTAAAAGGTCATTTCGATTCTTATTGGCAAAGTAGGAGACAGCACCTTTCTGGTGACAGTACACCATGAAACATCAGTTCAGATCCACATCAGAGCCGTGGCTGCTTGTATAAATACATCCAACTAGAAACAGGATTGTTCCTGTCTTTAGTTTCATGTCTGCAGTCTGAATAAAAAGCAGGTAAAAGAACAGAAGTCCACTTTGACTGAACGTCTGACTCCTGAGGGAAACTTGTAGCAGACCTGTATGCACTGGAAACACAACTCACAACAGCCTGCATGGAAACTAACATCATTATTCCACGTTTTAACTGTTCTGCACATATTTCACTGACATTGGGCCTCATGCAAGAACCGTTCGTACGCACAGATTTGTTCTTAAGTTGTGCGTACGAGTGATTCAGGAGAATTTGTGGCATTCACCAATGTTTTCGTATTCTAAGATTTTRTTCAGATACGAACAAAATTRACYAGTGGTCCAGACCTGTCGTATATTTTACSAGCAGTCAGTCTGCTGTTATCCAGACGGGTTTTCCTCCCTAATAACTTTATATTTAGTTAGTTTGAAGATATTTTGAGTTGAAAATAAATCACACTCTATAATTATGTTGACAATAGGCTATTCTGCTTGAATTAGAGTTATAATTTTAAATGTAATAATTTAGACTAACAATATAAATTGTCCGTCCGGCTGGCTTATCCGCTATGGGGTGCGGGGGCAGCAGCAGAGAGACCCCGCTCTCCCCAGCGACACCTTCCAGCTCGTCCTGGGGGACTCTGAGACGTTCCCAGGCCAGAGGGGATACATAATCCCTCCAGTGAGTCCTGGGTTTTCTCCAAAGTGCCAGACTTATTTTGAAAACATTTTAAAATGCTTATTTCAAACCCGCATCTGAGACCACCAGCAACCGCGGGGTACGGTGCGCAGCGCTGTGTCTTCTGAATAAATGAAAATGATTTAACACAGTTGTTTATACTTTTAGCAGCTCTTTTTATTCCACATCTGACCTGCTAAAAATGACAGATTTTCTTTGCTGGTTCTCTGACAGACGGACTTCAATCTCTGAACTCGTAAAGTTTTTCTTTTTAGTTTTCGCTGTCATTTTCATGAATGGACACTTCCTGATATCTGAGGCAGGAAACACAGCCTTATATGGGGTTTTGGGGTGGTAATTATGCTAATCTCCTTTTGCGTGCACGAGCAGCTGGATACGAACAGGTGGAATTTACGCAGCTCATTTACACACTTTTCCTGAAGATAGAAGAGTTTGTTGAATCTGACGTGACATGTTCGTACGAACCCTTTGTACGAACAAAAGTAAGAGAAATTTAGGATAAGAATATGAACAAGTTCTTGCATGAGGCCCATTGTTCCCAGTTGTAAAAGTCATTGCATAACTCATCACTTTTTATTTGGGTGCTGTTAACACGTGTGAGCAGGCTCAGAGGATGAATGCACGACTCCGTGTTACATTAACATGTTTTGCACGTGTGTTAATCATGACAGCATGGAAACACGTCACCATCCAAACCCTGGAAAACTGCTCATGARCAAACACAGAAGCTACAGGAGATTACTTTTGGGCTTTGTCTCCCTTCTTCTTTTTTTTTTTTTTTCCTCAAGGGCAGAAGCCGGGTTTGACTGACGTCCAGGCCGAGCTGGACAGGATGACTCGCAAGCAAGACTCGGTGGTTTCAGCTAACAACGGGCCGCCAACGGAGAACGAAGCGTGAAGGCAGCAAAAACGGCCGCATCATCCACCGCGTTAATACTCTGGAAAAATAAAWAAATAAATATTTGTACATGTGAGCATAAACAAAAACATTGACCAAATTCCCAACGCCTTTTATCAGTCAGCAACACAGTGGTTTCACCAGGTGAGATGGGAAGATAACGAGATGGAGGTGTGGATAAGAAGTGCTGAAGGCTTGGCTTTTTTTTGTTTTCTGTCCTCTCTTCCACTGTAAAAGCTCTTTTTGTGAAGGATGTCAGTTTGTGGAAATGTGTGCACACTCCCTGGCAGCCAGCCTGATGCTCCGGGCTGCAGGCCCCCCTGTTCCTGGGGGTAAAAAAAACGCTCTCCTCGTGGATTTCCAAAAGAGTGAAAACACACCTGCCACGTGGCCTCTAGCTCATCTTATCAAGGAAGGAATTTGGTTGCGATTGGAAAGGTATTTAAACTTTAAATATTAAGAAAGGAATTAAAATACTTGCAAACCTTTGTCTTATGTAAAAAAACAAATGTTGGATATGATGTATTTATACAAAGGTTCTCCTTTTTTTGTTTTATTTTCTGCACCATTTCTTGGTTCAAGGAAACATTTYTTTGTATTTCGTAACATGTTAAGACGTCACTGACAACATGACACTAATATGACATGTCCAGAGAACCGATCGTATGGCCTGCCCTCGTCATCTCGAAGGATTCTGTAGATAGAAGTACAAAAACAAGATTCAGGTTTACTTAATTTTGTACAAACTGTTGTTTTCTGTCCAAATCGTGCAAATAGCTTCTTAGACTAAATGAGACTGGATGGGATTTGACGGGCGTAGCAGAATCTCTTCTTTAGCGACAGGTTTGTATATTTTGGGAAGGGGTCAGCGTCTTTCCTACTAAAAACTCCGAAGTGCCTCGCACAGTTAGCTGTCCGTGTCGTAGAGGTGCTCGTCTACACTTGAGGAAATGCACTGTAGCAGCACTGGTTCAAAGGTTTCTGTTCATTTCCTGACATCCAAATAATTTATTTTTTTTTTTTGTTTTGCGTTTTTGTTGATGTACAAAAAAGAAGAGGAACGTTTGGGGTCTGTTGTTTTTCAGAGGATACTTGTAGCTCAGCTGTTAGTGTAAAACCAAGATGGCTGCTGGTATCAAGAAGAAACCACGAAGTAACTTTTAGTATTTTATCCCCTAACACCTGCTGTGGTTGAAARCACTCATTTTGATGCTGTTTGGACGAGAGAGAGATGTTTTTATCCTTCAGTGTTCGACGGCATTTCTCTGTTTTTCTGGTTTCTCGTTGTTTTCCACACTGCATGTCTGTTAAAACATTCCCAGTTTCTACATGAAATAGCTGTGGAAACACATCTCTGGAGAAAACCTGTTCGTCCAGTCGGGTCTTTTTGTTCCTTTAGAGCTTTTTTTTTTAAACGACAACCTTTGCCTTCAATGTACAGCTAACAGTTGGTCACACAGGGCACCCTGCCTTCACAGGAAACCTCCTGATGTGTGTCCTTAAAGGGTTGCTTCACTGTCTCATGTCATTTCTGTTTTTACTACAGCTATACCATACCATATCATAAATCTGTAATGTTTCTAGTTCAACATCATAGTTCAGTCATTAACTTTGTATCCAAGGCCCTCCTGAATCATAGTATACAAAGTAGAATGATTCTTTTTTTTACAGTAATAGTTAAAAAGCAGCTATTTGCTTTTCAGATGATGGCYAAGTTGAAGAAAAAACTGGTGTAAATTGGAACGTTTAACCAAAGATGCATATCAGTCACTATTTTCTGCCTTTGCATTACTTCCACTAGATTGTGCCGCTGGTTTTGTTCTCTTCTCTCTTGCAAGGAGCTTTTGCATTCCACCCATCAGACCTGCCTTTAAACTCTTTTAATGACGCCCCATAAACTGGRAGAAACGACCCGAGCTGCTCCACCACGTCTGCAGCTTCAGCAGGAGGGGAAAGTGCACGTYTTTGAGCTGGAAGTGAATAACAAAAACAATATAATAGTGCAAATTTGACTGTTTTTGTGTTTAAAACGATCCTCCTCATCTATTTATTCACTTTGTTGAAACTAATCCCCCCKTCAGCTGTTGCTGGAATGAATGAAGCACAATTTGAGCAATGAGAAGCAGTAAACAGCACTTTTTTTTTGAGCACATGCAAAAGATGTTGGGTGGGGGTGAAATGTTCAGATTTGATGTTTTTGTTCCTGAGTTTTAAGGGGTTTCTTATCAAATGTTTTTTTTTAAACGGTTAAATGTGTTCCTGACCCTGGTTTGTGTTGTTTGTGCACAGCCAGGTGTTCATTTGSGCCTTTTTGTTGAGTGGAATGAATTGCTCTCATGCTGCTGTGGTGCCAGAGCTGCACTTGCTTTTTGTAAAAGATTGCGTAATTCTAAATAAGAGCAGGAGTAAACTTTTTGTACTGAAACAGGAGTTGAAAACTCGCCTCTTTACATCCTAACTGAATGGCCTTCAACCAGTATCCGCCGTCTCCACTATACGAGCTTCTGAGCTTCTGCTTCCAGTCGTTTTTGTATTCAGGATATCAGAACATTTTAAGCACATGGCTGGCTGCTTTTTTTTTTTTTTTTTTTTTTTTTTTTTTTTT